AGACACACTGACTGACTGGACACTCCAGTACATTAACACTGCACTGAGAGAGAGGGGTTCATACAGACACACTGACTGACTGGACACTCCAGAGAGAGAGGTAGATAGGTCCCTTTTCAGGCCATAAAGGCCCATGGGGTGGAAGGGGGGCAGGGGCCCATCACTTGCCCAACCGACACTGGAGGTGATGTGGTCAGCATCAAGCTCCGGCCGGCCTGTTACCAGGATTAACCCCTGGTACTCACTCGGAAAGCAGGCTGAGTGGACTTGGGAGCCATCTGGAAGGAATCGGAGCAAGCTCTATCGCCTGCCCCTACCTGGGATTGAACCCGGGACCCTCCGGTCAGGAGCTAGACGCCCTTGCCGAGGGGTGTGGGGGTATTACCTGGTCCACAAACCCGTTCCAGAGGGTGAGGTAGGACGAGGGGTAGGTGGCGAAAATGCCAGCAGTGGCGTTTGGGCCAGTCGCTGTGAGATTCCCTCCGCAGTACTCCATGATGGCCTCTAGAGGGAGCATAGAGACAGCTGGGCTTCAGCCACATCTTTCTGCTACAGAGCCCTGCCTCACTAAACTGAGGACTGTAAGAGTGTGGCAACACCATGCACAGCACAGGACAGACATCAGCACATCCGGATTTTAAATCCTGCCAGACATCCGGGTCAGCCTGAACCGTATTCTCCTGCAGATCAGTAGCACCTTTTGGCTATTGATCAATCAGGTGGGAGATTCGTTCAATGAGAAGGAATAGAAGGATTTGTAGTATGCAGACAGTGTTCGGGGCACTTTCAGGATAAAACAGAACGAGCCAGATAGAGAATGGAAAAACAATCTAAATGACAACTGAACAGCAATAAAATGAAGAGAGAAAAAAACACACATTTAATTTGGCAAAACACAAATGAAAAGCCGGCGTAGACAGACAAATGTTTAGTCTGGATTTAAAGCCTGTAAACCAGCTGACTACTCTCCTACCAGCAGGGAGGGAGTTCCAGAGCAGCTGGAAGACACTGGGACCTGTGAGACGGGTTCTGCTCGAAGCCCAGCTCCGTGCATAGGGAACAGGGAGAGATGATAAGAATTTGGTGCCCAGGGCTTTAAAAGTTTAAATAATAATAAGAAGAAGAAACTTTATTTTATGTAGCACCTTTAAAAGTAACATCTCAGAGCTGTTGGCAGGAGAAGAAAGGAAAAAGTTAACAGGGAGAAGGGAGAAGAGCTAGCACAATCAAAATCAAGCTTTTGGAATGCAGAAGAAGAGGAGAGAGAGAACCGACTGAGTAAAAGCCCTTCTGAAGAAGAAGGAGCTTTGAGTCTGGGTCTTAGGGCACTGGGAGGAGGGGACTCCACAGCCCTGAACAGAATGCGCTGGGTGGTGGAGAGTGTCAGGATGGGGCCATGTGACCACAGAGCCACGGACACTAGCAGCTGAGCTGTGGGCCATCTGAAGTGTGTTTAAGGAGCGGGGTAGAGGCATCACTGTAAGGACAGCGCAGTAATCCGAAGGCTTGAATCGGGGTGTCTGCAGCAGAGTAACCAAGGAAAGACCGAACGCAGGCAATATTTCTGAGATGAATGCAGGCTTGACAGATGGCTTTCCTTTGTGCATCAAAACACAGCTCAGCAGGGCGGAGTCTGAGGCGACAGGCTCCAGGCTGTATGGAAAGGAAAGCTGTGAGGGGAATTTGAGCTCAAGCAGGCCTAAATTTTACTCACACCGCTTGACAGAATCCAGGCGCCGCATGGGGGGGGTCGGACGAGACCGAGAGGCAAAACTGAACGTCACTGCACCGAAATGAAAGCCTATCCCCTTTCTGCCAACACGGCCCCCTCATGGGAGCAAGCACATGGGAAAAAACAGGCCGTAGATTTGGACACCTGAAGAGAGGGGGGTAGTTCTGGATCTAAAACTATTAACGGCAGCACATGGTTTGACAAAATACACTCAAGTCTATTTAAGAGCTGCTCCAGTCCCATACTCATGACAATCCAGCACCACTGTCAGGTCTACCAGGGCCAAAGGAGAACTAGAGTCAGATCTGAGTCTCACAGAAGGTCTTTTAGAACCGAGACCAAGGCCGTCTGTGTGCTGTGGGCTGGCGGAGGGCCAGACTGAAGCTGCTCAGAGAGACCATTTGAGGGCAATTGAGATTATGCGTCAAGGGAGCAAGATCGCTAGTTACCATGTATTCAGCTGAGTCAAATGCTGCTTTTAGAGTTTAAGATTTGAAATTGGCTTATAAATCAGACTCTCTGGGGCTCGGGTCGGGCTTCGTGTAAAAAAACCGGGGCGAGGTTCTTCAACAGGTGGAGCGCTGTCAACATGGGGTTTTCCCCACCACAGCACTCAAGTCAAGGTAATTCTCCAAAATAAGGTCATGAATAGGAAGTTTATCTGCAAGGGATCAAACATTTTAAAGCGATTTTGGTTCCTTGAGGATTGAAAGATATTTATATTCCTGTTCTTTAAGTGCTCTGTAAATAATTTAATTACCTGCTTAACCGATCGCAAATAAATTCTGTTTTGGGACCAGGAGTGGAATCCCCACCTCTAATTAAATTCAGTCCAATTCAACTGAACCCTAAATGTTCTGAGACCAGATGTGAAGAATGTGTCAAACTCAATCTTTCTTTCTTGTCCTCGTCTTCATACTAATCTTTCCTACACTCGACTCAGTGTTGTACAGGAATGCAATGCAAGGCCTTTTATGTCCCTCCGTGCTCACCGTAGTAGACCACATAGATGGTTGCCGCGGCAAGGAAGGCCCCCGTCACCTGGGAGAGGATGTACAGTGGAAGGCGTCTCCACTGGTGCCTGCCCAGAACACAAAGACTCAGGGACACCGCAGGATTCAGATGGGCTCCTGGGGAAGCACAGAACAAACACAGCAGCACTCAAGCACTAATACTTTTCTTAAATCATTTATATAGACCACTCAGGGGTCTAATTTACCCCTGCGCTCACACTCAGAAATTTCTGTATCTGTCATCATGGGGACATCTAATTGAGTCGCAGTTCATTTTTAATTGCTGTTCCCAAAATCAGTCAACTGAAACTCCACACCTGGGGTGAGCAAATTCAAACCCACAGTTCTGTCACTTGTAGCTTCAATAGCAGATGCCATCTGAGTTACAAAAAAACGTCAATTCCATTGTGGGTACGTGTCTTTCTATCATGAGTTGCTGTGTCTGTGGGGTTGTTTTCTTAGATTCTGTCCCAGTGTAATACCCTCTCAACCAACCTGACACTCTCTCGCACACACAGGCGAGCGTGCCCTACCTGACACTCTCACACACACACAGGGGAGCGTGCACAGAGCTGTGCCCTACCTGACACTCTCACACACACACAGGGGAGCGTGCACA